CACAAACAACAGTGAGAACCCGGCTCCCCACACATAGGCGGAGGGAGGTTACTCTCTCATTCACTGGGGTGAACCCCAACATACAGGCATCATGATGGGAGGCAACAATTATGCCCAATCCTGCTTGGCGCCTTTCACCAGGGGCAACTCCAGAGTGGAAGAGTGTCCAACCACTCTCAAGGAAACTGGTTCCAGAGCTAGAACTATGCATTGAGGTGAGTCTGACTATTTCAAGCTGGAACCTCTCAACCTCACACACCAGCTCAGGCTCCTTCCCCACCAGAGAGGTGACATTCCACATCCCAATAGCCAGCTTCTGTAGCTGAGGATCAGACTGCCAAGGTCCCTGTCCTTGGCCACTACCCATCCCACTTTTCACCTGACCCCTTTGGCCCCTCCCACAGGTGGTGAGCCCATGGGATTGGGGACACACGTCTCCTCTTAGGGCTGTGCCCGGCCGGGCTCCATGGGTAAAAGCCCGGCCACCAGGTGCTCACAATCGTGCCCCACCTCCAGGTCCGGCTCCAGAGTGGGGCCCCGGTGACCGGCGTCCGGGCGAGGGAACATTGTTTCCATTTATTTTTCTCATCATAAGGGGTCTTTGGGTTGCACTTTGTCTGATCCCTCAAATATGACCTGTTTGTCTTGGGTGACCCTATTAGGGGCATGAAGCCCCTGACAGCATAGCTCCTAGGATTTTTGGGACACTCAAACCCCTCCACCACGATAAGGTGGCAGCCAAGGGAGGAGCAGGAAGGACCAAATTAATGAATTTCACTGTTTGTTTGCACTAATTAAAACATATCATAATGCAGCTAAAACGACAGAAAAGCTCTGTTTCTTTCGAACATGAATGAAAGAAGATCTGAGCAGATTTAAAAAAAACCTTTACCCTCAGTGCTTTTATCTGTGACATGTAACAGGCAGCTTGTTCTTGGTAACGTGATCATCAGTACCTCAAAGTTCATTTCTTGTTACAAGTAAAATTAATCTGATCTAGTAATGACTCAGGTGAAACTCTAGCCCTCTGCCATGCTGGCTGAGCCAGCTCTGCATCACCGCACAGACGACCCAGTCTAGGTCAAGGCTGCAGGGACAAGATTAGGACATTCTTGTGCAGCAGTGCTCTTGGCAGGTCCAGGTGGAGGGTGATGGAGTCCTCACAAACTGCTCCACATTGCTTCACTGCCAAGAGACAGTAGACTGCACGTTCAGCTTCAGGTAGTTTATGAGTATCTATCATAAGTAGGACTAAAATAGCATTTATATATCCTCACATTCAATCAGCATAAACCAAAACTTACACTGAAAGTCATTTAATCAAGGTGAAATGTGATCACAACATGCAGAAATTGACATAACATTGTGAAAATAGGAGCTATATTTGTAACAGTCAACATTTTTTTTATCAAGCAAAATGAAGTTAAAGTGACAAACAGATATTTGAATGCTTGCTGGCTCCTGTTTTTTTTTCTTCATTTAAACATTTCTTAGGAGTGATAGTTTGGTTTTGCACTCTCTTGTTATTGTTCTTGTTCTTTATGCAGCTGTGGCTGAGTGGTTAGAGCAGCCGTGTGTGTAGTAGAGTGCTGTATGAATGTGTGTGTCTAGTAGGGTATGGTATGGTATGGTATAAAGTTTATTCATTTTAAAAAAGTACAAAACAATAACAATATAGAAAGATACAAAAGATTTAAAATGAAAGGCAGCAGAAAGAATAAAAAATCTTATTATATCTGCTCCTTTTTTCAAACAATTAGTTCAATCATAATAATTTTCAAGTAACAGAACAAAATGAATAACTCTTTCTAATTTTTCTAATTCTAATACAAAAAACACACTAAGCTACTTCATATATACTTTTTTAACAATCCAGCTTTGATCTTTTTCTTAAATGTGCACATTGACTTGGCATTTTTCACATCACTCTCTAGAACATTCCACAATCCAACTCCTTGGATTGAGGTAGACCTTCCCTTCAGACTAGTTCTGAATGTTGGTTTGACAAATATCTCTATCCCCTTAAGATTATAACAACTTTGTCTTTTAACTAAATTTCTTTGGATATTTAATGGTAATGTGTTATTTTGAGCCCTATACATAACTGATAAAATACTATAATCTACCAAATCATGGAACTTTAATAAGTTCAGTTGATAAAATAATGTGCTTGATGGGTGACTGTAATGCTTTCTGGTGATAATTCTTACAGCTCTTTTCTGTAAAATAAAAATAGGTTTTGTAAATGTTTTACACACTTTCCCCCAAACATCAATGCAATAGATTAAATGTGGAACAATGATTGTGTTATACAACATGTACAGAGCTTTATCATTTAATAATTCCCTGACTTTGTATAGTACTGCAATAGATATAGATATTTTTGTTCTTACAGAATTGATGTGATTTTTCCATGTTAGCTGTTCATCAATGATTACACCCAAAAATTTCATCTCATTAACTCTACAAATCTCAACACCCTCAATTTTAAATGGATCATCAACAGTTCTCTTTTTGTTACTAAATATCATGTATTTAGTTTTATCTAAATTTAATGATAATTTATTAAGTTTAAACCAAGTTTGTATTTTATCAAATTCTGTCTTCATCAATTCCAACATCTGTTTTACATCTTTACCCAAACAGAAAAATGTGGTGTCATCTGCAAAAAGGACACATTTGAGGAGTCCTGATACATTCACTAAGTCATTCACATATAAAATAAATAACTTTGGTCCAAGTACAGAGCCTTGAGGAACTCCACACGTGATACTGCACAGGTCAGATCTTACACCATTTATTTGTACAAACTGTTTCCTATCTTTTAAATAGCTAGATACCCAGTGTAATGCTGGTCCTCTTATACCATATTTATTTAATTTTCCAAGGAGAATAGTGTGGTCAATAGTATCGAATGCTTTTTTTAAATCAACAAAAATACTAACACAATACTGTTTTTGATCGACAGCAGTAGTTATTTGTTCTATTATTTCCATGAGAGCCAATGATGTAGAGTTTTTTGCTCTAAACCCAGACTGACTGCTACTTAGAATGTTTTGTTTAGTAATAAATTTATCTAATCTGGTCACAAACAGTTTTTCTAGAATTTTTGAGAACTGTGGTAATAAGGATATTGGTCTATAATTATTGAACACACATTTATCACCATTTTTAAAGAGAGGAACTACCTTAGCTACTTTCATATTGTCTGGAAATATTCCTTTTGAAAATGATAAATTACAAATATATGTAAACGGCTCGATAACATAACTCATTATGTCCTTTACAAACATCATATCCATGTCCACCCAGTCTTTTGATCTCTTATCTGTAAGATTTTTTACAACATTCATTATTTCTTCTTTGTCAGTTCCATTAAGAAAAATACTGTTGTCACAACTTATAACTGAATGGTTCACATTATTGTCTACTTTTGGTATTTTAGCTGCAAGGCTTGATCCAACGTTCACAAAATGATGATTAAATCCATTTACAATTTCATTTTCATCATGGATTTCATCGTCATCCTTCAAAAAATATTGTGAAATACCTGTTTTTGCTTTATGACTTTTCAGAACACTATTTATTACTCGCCATGTAGCTTTCATATCACTATTACTTTTATTTAATAAATCACTATAATATTCCTTCTTGTGTTTCCTTATAATCGCTACTAATTTATTTTTACACTTCTTATATTTCTCTTCAGCCTCTTGTGTTTTCAATTTCAAGAAACATGTATACAAATAATTATTTTTTTTTACAAGCATTTCTCAACCCGTTCGTCATCCATGGTTGGTCAACAACATTTCTCTTTGTACAATTATTTTGCACACAATTCTATTCATACAGAGCTCCTAAAATATTCATAAACTCATCATATGATCTCGTAGAGCACTGTATGAATGTGTGTGTATTAGAGCGCTGAATGAATGTGTGTCTAGTAGAGTGCTGTTTCAATGTGTGTAGTAGAATTTTGTATGAATGTGTGTGTCTAGTAGAGTGCTATATGAATGTGTGTAGTAGAGTGCTGTATGAATGTGTGTGTAGTAGAGTGCTGTTTCAGTGTGTGTAGTAGAGTTTTGTATGAATGTGTGTGTCTAGTAGAGTGCTATATGAATGTGTGTATTAGAGCGCTGTATGAATGTGTGTGTAGTAGAGTGCTGTTTGAATATGTGTGGTAAAGTGCTTTATGAATGTGTGTAGTGGAGTGATGTATGAATGTGTGTTGTACAGTGCTGTATGAATGTGTGTAGTAGAGTGCTGTATGAATGTGTGTGTAATAGAGTGCTCTATGAATGTGTGTTAGAGCGTTGTATGTGTGTGTAGTAGAGTGTTGTATAAATGTGTGTGTAGTAGAGTACTGTATAAATATGTGTGTAGTAGAGTACTGTATAAATGTGCGTAGTAGAGTGCTGTTTAAATGTGTGTGTAGTAGAGTGCTGTATGAATGTGTGTGTGGTAGAGTGTTGTATAAATGTGTGTGTGGTAGAGTGTTGTATAAATGTGTTTGTAGTAGAGTGTTGTGTAAATGTGTGTCTAGTAGAGTACTGTATAAATGTGTGTGCTGTATAAGTCCAGTACATTTATCATTTATTGCTTCCATTTAATTGCTCTTAGAACTTCATGCTGGGCTCAACTTTTACTGTCCTAACTAAAGTAAATCAACTACATGTGTTTTCTTTAGTTTTATGTTTAGAGTCTGATTTCATCTTTATTTCTTCATATTGACTTTTAAAACATAATTTTGTTAAAATGCCCCTATAAAAAAACAACATATGACCCACAGGCCCTACGCAATACATAAAAACGGAATTACTTACAAAATAAAATAAATAAATAAATACAAGAATGAATTGTGGTCCGGTTGAGATATGAAAATAATCTATGGATTCCTTTATACATTTGCTGCAAATATACTGTAGTTTTTGTATTATTTTCTATTTCAGTCAACACAATAAACTTTACTTGCAGGATTAGTTGTCGAGCTAAAGTCTCACCATGGTCTTCTTGTCAGCTTTCTGAACAGTGTAACCATTTATCTCACAGTTGCCATCGTCCTTTGGCGGTTTCCAATCAAGTGCCACATTAAAACCCCAACTATCCACAAACTTCAGGGCCTCCGGTGGTCCTGGGAGATCTACAGATAGAAGGTCACATTAACAGTTCACTCAGAGAGCTTTCCCTCCTGTTTGGAGCGGCGTGTAAAGTACTCACCTACGACCTGAAGCAAAACTTTAGCCGTATCTTCCACGTTCTCGATCTGCACCTGCAGATCGTACTGTCCTGAATGTTTTCTGTCCGTCTTTCGGATGAAGAGAATCGAGTCTACTTCACTGTTCCTGACGCTCACAAATGAGGAGTCCAGAGGTTTTCCATCTTTGCTCCAAATCACTTTTGGCCTGGGCTTACCCTGCACCCCAGAGTGAGACGGACTTTAAAACGTGCAAAATTTTAAAGAATATTGAACAAAAACTCATTTAAAACATCCATTTGATCAATAATTTTGGTATTAAGTTATACTATTGTGGAGAAAAATATATATTTTTTGTCAATATAAAGTTTTAATTAAAAAAGAGGCTTTAAATTCAATTCAGTTTATTTTTAAACCGTCAAGTCTCAACAGAAGTCGTCTCAGGGACTGAACAGAAACATTCAAATATAAAATAATAATTGAACATTATTTATCTGAGGAGCAGCTTTGAGTTTAACTCCATCACTGAACTCTCATCTTGAACAAGCATGAAGGCGACAGTGGAAAGAAAAACTCCCTCATGAGGAAGAAACCTTTAGCAGAACCAGGATCAGGACAAGAGGACCATCTGCTTCGACCGGCTGGGTTTGGTAGGAACAGATACACAATGGCAGGTCAAGAATCATATGTTAAGATAGAAATAGTATCAAATTAAAACTATTTAATTTTAACAATTCATTTAAGGAAATGAGGTAAATTTGTCCTCTAGCAGTCTAAGTCTATAGCAGCATAACAAGCCGACCCTAACTATAGGATTTATGAAAAAGGAAAGTCTTCAAACTGGACAATGTGTCAGCCTCATGGACAGAAACTGAAGTTGGTTCCACAAGAGAGGAGCCTGAGAACTGGAAGATCTTCCTCCCATTCTGCTGCTGGAAACTCTAGGAACCACAAGTAAACCTGCAGTCTGAGAGTGAAGTGCTCTGTTAGTAAAATATGGAACAACAAGATCTGTAATATAAGATGGAGCTAGGTTGTTGAGAGCTTTGTAGG